ACCACCACCAGCACCACCGCCACCAGCACCACCACCACCGCCACCATCAGCACCACCACCACCAGCACCACCACCACCACCACCACCACCAGCACCACCACCACCACCACCACCACCACCACCCATTCTCTTCGCAATGCTACGCCGCCTTGAGCATGGGTACGTATATCGTCATCGCGACAACATATTCTGTGAATCCTTCATTGCCTTGCTTCAGGCAATACGTCGCCTGCAGGGTGTTCACACTCAAGTGATCAGGGGTTGACACGTGTAGAGTTTATTCAAAAGTAGCTTCCGGCAGCAAGACAACCAACAACATGTTCCTCTTCCGTGCTCGCAATATCTGGCACAAATCTTGTTTCCCAAGCAACGGCTGGGCCTTTGGGTTGTAGGTTCAGTGATCGGAGGTGAACCAAGGGCCAGCCCTGCTTCCGGTCCGAGGCGGTCGTTAGGATGACTTGCGATGTCGAGGTTCCGAATCGGGTTACACTCTTGCTCTGTAGCCGAGAGGCAATCCAGCAGCAACTGCAGCTCGAGCCGCGGTTCTCGACGATCTTCTCAAGGCCTCGGTCACGAGAACCTGCTCTGCTCTGCTCTTTTCTGCTCCGTGCGGCAGATTTGACCCCAGCGGCCACAGCTTCCTCCGCAGAATTGCAGCTGAAGCTTCCCCTGTGAGAAGGTCCTGTTGGATCCGATTCTGAGATGCGGATGCCTAGAGGAGGCCGAGCCACTTGCAACACCCGCTGACTGAACAGGGTTGAAACGATTGAAATCACTTCGTTTCTTCTAGCGCTGCCAGTTCATGCCTAAAGAAGAGGCCAGTCTTGCAGTCTGCCGGCACAGGCGTGGAAAGAAGCTTCCAACTCCAATGAGTGGGACTTTCTGGCAAGCTGGCCGAAGAGCGCAGATTGACTGCGAACGCGACGAGTGGAAGGCGTGCACACACTGCTTGTCCCAGGCCACAAGGCTTGTTGATACCTGCTCGGGTTGGAGCCCGATCCCACGGCTTTGTTGGCTGCTCTTCCATCGAATCGCCCTTCTCAAGTAAGTTTCCAGCGAGCACAACCTCGCACAAGGTGAGAAGCATGTTCGGGGCCCCAGCAACACCACCATGGCACTCTGGAGAATGAAGCTTAGCCTCTGCCAAGAAGAGATGGAATTGCTGGTGGAATCCAGCAACATGAGACATGCACATAGCAGGCAAGCTGGCCATCAACATGAACTCCATTCATGCGGACATTATTTGGATTCGGTGGGTGCCACGAGATGCTTATCAATGCCAAGCAGCTCCCACTGATAAACGACATGGCATCGAGCAGGAAAGGAACCATCCATGAACTGGTGTCCAAAAGGACACACCGCAGCAGATTCCCAACAGGGCAAGGCCGGCCAGAACGGCCTGCATCGCTCTGCTTGCTCGCGGTATCGTCGAAGTGTTGAAGATTTTGCATGCTACGGCGTGACCGTGCAACTCCTCACTGACGCTGCAGAAGTAGCTTCGTAGTTGGTGGGGCAGATGCAGTGATCTCCAGCAAGGAGGCCAGAGGAGAAATGGAAGTGAATGAACGCCCTAGGATCCTGAGTTTGTGAGATGGGCCAGCCTAATGAGTAATATGTGCGTACGGGCATCACGCAGCATCATTCAGCAAGGTCTCAACTCACTGAGTTGTTTGTCAGACAGAGAGGAAAGGCGACAGAGGCAGACACAGATCACAGACACTTTGTCAGAACGGAAGTCGAAGAAGCACGGAAAGAGAGACAGACAGATCGAGAGGAAAGGCGACGGAGGAAGACACAGACATCGGAGAGAGAGACATATAGGACACAATCAGCAGAAACTGAGAGACCGACGAGCGGACAGCCGTGCAGAGCAGCCCAGCCACCCACCCACGTGTCCACCTACACGAACACCTGGAAGTCTCCCAGACATTTGGTGTGCACAGTGCCTGTGCACGTTCCGGGTGGGCTCGTGCCGCCCAGTTTCTAGTTCAAGCAGGTATGTACTCGAGTGCTAAAAGCTCAGTCAGCACAAGCTACGGCAGCCCATGTGGTCCTTGGCGTCCCGTTTTGACACGTAGCAGGACCTAGATGTCTTCCGCTACGAGCTGGAGCGCATGGAGCCACAGACATGCACATCCCTTGCTGCACGAAGTACACGTCGGGAAAGAACCCATCCAGCATGTATGCATGTTGTGAGGACTTTGTCAATTGAGGCAGCAGCTTTTCCCTGTAGTTCGCTTGACACAACGATCGCATGCTGAGGCATGGACGCCTCGGTGCAGGGGACACAGCGCACGGTGGACCGCGTGGTCGGTGAACTAGGCCCGATGACGTGTCAAGGAGTCTCAAGTTTTTGGCAGCTGCAGAACATCATTCGCAGTGTTTTCGAAGCCGCATGATTGTGCCGGCTTCGTGTGTCCAGGTCGCGTCCAGGATGTAGGAGACTCGCGGTGCCCTCGGAGATTCGAAGGGGAGCTGCACAGGTCTATCGACTCTCTCGCCACAAGGCTTCGGGCAGATTTGGAGAAGCGACTCTCGCAGCAGAGCAAGATGTTGAATGTCTTCAAAATGGAGCTCGAGGTGGGTTTCTCTCCGTAGCCGTAGCAGGTGCACCCTGGTGGGTTCATGTTCACATGCACTGTCGAGGAATTGCACTGAAGCCTGACGCTTCGAGTGATCACGATAGCATGTGACTGGCGCACACGTCTGTGTCGACGCCGACCGCAACTCGGAAGGTGAAGCTGGTCAGCCTTGAGAACCGCTATGACAAGCTGAGTGATGACCTGTGGGGTGAAGAGACAGGCACCTCCCGAATCTTGCACTGTCATGTGGACTTGTGGCAATGTGACACAGTCATGTGCTATCTGCCTCACGATCATCACCTGTACTTTGGTCTACTTTTAAGTTGCACTAGCTAGATCAGGTGTGCTCAGCTTCGGCCAACCTGTTTGGCAGGACTAGCGAAGGTCATGCATGATCTTTCCCACACGAACGAGGTGGTTGCAGCCTGAGCTTTTTTGGCCGCGTTGGTCGAAGGATAGGGCCATCGAGATCCCTCTGCGCTTTGGGTGTCGTGGTGTTTCGTCTTAACATTTTCAACCATGAGGTCACCAGCATGAGCACCGAGTTTGCTTCCATGAAGCACGACAAGGTCTCAAGCGCATGGGCTCATGACGCCTTGAAGAGAGCTGCAAGCCTCCAGTCGTAGGCGAGCATTGCCCAGCTTCAGATGGTCCAGGAGGAGGCCGGAAGACCACCGCAGAAACTGTGGAGCGGATTCCATTGTAGGGGGACTTGTCTGTCTGCAGGGTGGTTTGTTCGCTCGGTCGCTGTTGGCGTTCGTGTGAGTCGGCGCATGTTTGCGCGCAGGGTTGCATGCTTTTATGTCTTGAGCCATCTGCAGCCGGTGCCCAGTGCTTCCGTGCCACTCGTGAAGCAGCGCAGCGTTGCACGTGGCTTGCATTCCTCGGTCTTCAGTCAAGAAGCGAATAAACAAATCTTGAGAGGTCGACCGTTGTGAACATTCCGGACGCCGCTAGGTCTGCTAGGTGCTAAGTCAGAAGATGGGACAATACTTTCGGAATATACATCACACCGCCCTCCTGGTCATGGGGGGGTGGCAGCGGTAGTGGGCGCGCGCCGTGCAGAGTTTGGAATCCGAGCGCCGAGACAAAACTCGTCCAGGTCTGCCAAGAGCCAGCAGTCTGACAGGTCAACAATTTCACTCTGGAGACCAACAACAACGTCACCGCCCTGCAGCAGACTGTTGACAGGCAAGGCCCTTAGCAACTACTTGTAGTCTCAGCCTGGTTTGGGAGCTGCATTGCATGCGACGCAGCTCAGGATGATGGCAGATATGAAAGCCCACTTTCAGACCGCCACCAACACAGTGGCGGCGCACAATGCTGCCATGCTGCAGGAGGCACGGGGTAAATGGTGAGCATGGTGCACGTGAGCTAACAGCAGTTAAATTCCCGTTTCGTAGAACAGTGACTAGACAGTCTAGACGAAGTGAAGCCTGTGGAGGTTCGGACAGCCTACCAAGAAGAGCAGGCAGCTCAGAGCACTCGAGGTGTGAGCAGTGCTATGCTTGAGCAAGTCTCTGTCATTTGGATTGGTGAGGAGTTGCGAACTCGGACATAAAACTGTGTTGCCGGTTGCCTGGCTGTGGATCCAGGTTGCACGAGGCGGCTCAGGTTCGCAAGAAGGCTCGACTGCAGCGTGTGAGCAAGAGTTCAGCACGGGCATTCTGCATTTCACAGGTCGATGAGTTCATGCAGTCCGAGCGCAATGGCCTCGTGCAATACGGAATGTAAGGAACCTCCTGCCATTCCAGTCGTTTTACCTAGACCCGAGCTCGCCTGTGGGTCCCAGGCGAGTACCGTCGAACGTTAGAGGACAGCATTTGTGCCGCCGTCGTGGTTCTGCGCGGAAGCAAACTGCCAGATAGCTGCCAGACAGCTTATCACCAAACTTCCTGCTTTTGCAAGAGGGACGTACGTGGCAAGCCCTCGCCGCGGCCAGGCAAATCCCAAGCTCAGACAGAAGACCTCGTGCGCCAGGCTTTGGGATTCTGTCATATCCTTGAAGACAGGGCCGCTCCCCCCTCATGCAGGTGACCTCAGAAGTCGAAGAGGTGGGTGTTGGCCTTGTGCGCTGTGTTTTCCACGAATGGGCACGTTAGTGTCTTCTCCAGTGGTTCTGTGCAAACCTGAAGCTCCGCAGCCCGGGTCTCTCATGCGACGAACTTAGGCAAGCTTCGGCGCCGAGATCGCAATAGCCAAGAGGCCAACCCGGAAGTGCAGTGTGGTGTGTGGCATGGTGAGCAGGGAACAAGAGACGCTGGAACTTGCGAGAGAAACACCTTAGTTCTGCTGCTGACAGGTTGAAATCAAAGCCGTGGCCAAGTCGCTCGCGACTGTGCCAAGAGCTTAGCAGCTCGGGTTGAGTGCGGCGCTTGCCTCGTGTGGGTTTTTCCTTGCCACAGGCAAGATTCCTCGCAGCATGTTGCCCAGAGCCTGGAACACTTGAGCGCTGTGATCTGGACCATGGCCAGGATCCCGGCTACGAGCGATGGCACCTTTGTTCTTCTTACGCTGCCGCTGCTGAAAGCCCGGTGGTGCGTGAGGTGCAGTGCGAACGAGCGGCATCAGCGTCAGCATCTCAGACCGGCGAGCTGGTAGCTGACAGCAGGGAGCATGTCTCTACGCTGGTTCAGGTTGGACCTCCAGGATGATCAAGACAGATCCAAAATCGCTTTGATGGGCTACAAGGCGCGCACCGTTTGCCACAACCCTTGCCGCAGGCCTTACTCTGCTTAGCCTTGCTGTGTGCCATCCTTGCTGCTGTTGCAGGAAGAGCAGTCGGAGAGGCCTCGAGGAGCCTCTTTTCCTCAGTGCCAAATGTGCCAAGATCTAATCACGGACCCCTGCCGTGCCCTTCGCTGTCACCCCGTGGAGGATCGAAATCCCGCAAGGGCCGAGCCTCTTCGCCATCGGCAAGTGAGGTCTGTCAGGGATGCAGGCCTTTGCCGAGGATTCTTGATCTGATCTTCAGCTCACTTGAGGCCGATGGTCAGACCATCATCAATGTGGACGAGCGTTGTCTCAGCTGCTGCGGAAAAGCACAGACTGTTCTTTCAGGCGCCCTGGGCCCTGGAAGAGTACAGACAGAGTGCAGTGTCGTATTTGGTATTGCTCACATTGGTTGGCTCTATGAGGCCATTTCAGTTTCACGCACAGTGGCAGCTCCGATCCCATGGAGTTAGAAGTGTTCATGTAAAGAGTTAGCTCGTGGCGTGCAATGCGTGTGCGGTGCTAGAGCCAAGGTGTCTCGCGTTGATTTCCAATTGTGTTGAGCTGGTGTGGACAAAAGGCTTCAAGATGGCCTGCTTACAGTACTCTCCAGCGCCAGTTGTCTTCTCGTGCGGGGGCCCGGCCTGTCCCATTTCACCTGTTCACGAACCCAAGTGCAGTGAGTCGTTGCAAGTCGTGTCGCACAGTCGCAAAGTGAGTTGCCAAGGCGCAAGACCTACAACAGGTCTGACTTACTTGGCCTGCGGGAAAAGCTTCTGTCACAGGCTGGAGCGGCTTGGGCACCGCTACTCTCACTAATATCTCATGCTCTCACCTGTCTCAGGTGCACGATGCACTGCAGCATGGGCCGGTGGAGTTTGACAAGGCCGAAATCTTCGGAGCCACGGCGAACACGACGATATCTTCAGGTCCGCCTGCACGGTCCCTTGCCGTGTCTTCTCGTTCTTGGTTCTCTGCCCTTTCCAGTAGCACAGCAAGATGTGCAGAACATCGCCTGGCTTGCAGGTGCGATTGTGGACTCTCTGACAGGCACGAGTCTCGGCGCTCTCGGCGATCTGTCAAGTGAGACGAATGCACCAAGGTCAGGATGGTCGCCTGAGCAAAGCAACAGGCCGCACCATGGCAAGTAGGGGTATCGGTCATTACAGACGCCTGAAGACCCATCAGCTGGGGTTGCCGAGACTTGTTGCGAAAGACGGTGTGGTCTACTAGAACAGAAAATCCGTGTGTAGCGCAGGCTCCCGATCCAGTCCGTTGTCCATGCCACCCATTCAATCGGCGTGGGGCCTCCCAAGATGTTGAGGGAAAGAAGTTCAGCAATGTCTAGGAGTCTAGGACTCACTTGCTTGTCTCTACATGGCATTGCTTGTAATTGCTGTGGCATGGTGCTGCTTGGACCGGAGTGGCTACTTGTTGCAAGCTGAGCTTTTCGATTTGTTGTGGTTGTAGGTTAACCTAGCCTTGCCTTTCAACTACAGGGCTGTTGAAATGCGCCCAGTTGCCGAGAGCCACTGCCGTCAACACATCGAAATGAGGCGGTCGACACCCATCAGAGCGGCATGAAGGCTTGCTTGTACAGACCAAGTTTGCGGGAGTTTTCCAGCCAGGGCAGCCCGAAAAGCGGGAAGGCCCGCCTCTCCTACAGTGCATAAATCGTGCGCTGAAGTAAACGAAAGCGAGCTGTCCATTCAATCTTGCTCTTTCTACTTGATGTGATGTAGACGACAGTGCTATGTTTCGCGCACCATTTTGTGGTCGGCAGGATGATCGGCAAACGTGTTGCAGGGGTTGATGTTGAGAATGTCTGAATGGAGGGCTGCGAAAGCTTAACGCAAGAAAGCCACAAGTGCATTGCCACACTGAGGAAGGACCGTCCAAGCTCCGAAAGCTAAGTCGGATGTGCATATTTGGGCTGGCACCTCCGCCTTCCTGGGCAGAAAGTTGATGCGCAAGGGACCAGCGTGCTGTGGTGATTTGTCTGGCAAGCTAACGAAGCAAGCCGCTATGCACGTCCCATCTGCCAGAGAAAAGTCAGTCTGCATTTACATGACACCTGCTGCGGCTGTTGCTGCTGCTGCCGCTGCTGCTGCCGCTGCTGCTGCTGCTGCTGTGCAACGTGTACGCGAGAACATGTTGAATGCGAAAAAAATATGTGTGGCACCGGGCGGTGGGCACCTCGACCAGTGTTCGAGGCTGACATGTGCAGGATGGTGCAGCAGCAATGAAAAAAGTCGAGCATTTCCTGCAGTGACGATAACTTAGCCTGAGTGGTCTCTTCTCTGTTCGGTTACTTGAATCTTGCAACAAGCCGAACAACGTCAGCAACATCACACCCGGCCTTGATCTTTCGCCGCGCGTGATGACGTTGTGCTGGGTGAGGGGTGGGCCAGGCGCATGGCCTGGCAGCTTGGGCAGCAAGCCAGAATGCAGCCCCTTCTAAGCAATCTGTAGTGCTCCCTCGTTGCAAGCAGAAGGCAAGCCAGCAGACCTGCGCTTCGCTGTGCACTCCGGAGCTCTGCCTTGATGTTGCCGATATAGCACAGAAATGCGTTTCAGCAGGAGCCGCTTCGTCAACTCCGAGCTGGACCTTGGTGCGTCACCACAGGCACTGGACATGGTGGGACATGGGGGATGACCTCAGTGAGCGATGGAAAGCTTCTACTCCTGCTTGTTTTTGGCCGCAGGCATGGTCTTCTTTCATATTGCAAAGGCCGGCGAGCCTTTGTTGGGGGTGAGACTTGCAGCTCAAGACATTTGTGTACATCTGTATGCCTCGGGCAGTAGTCCTGGACTGAAGGCTTCAAACGATTCCAACTACGGCCCTTGTCGAGAGCTAGCATCTCAGGGAGGTCTTCGCGATGCATCGGCCAGTTATTGAAACATGGCTGATGCACTCAGACCCTGTGCAGCAAAACCGCCGTGTTGAGAATGTATCAACACATCCAGGCTGCGACGAGCTATCCCGGGCGAGATGTGACGACTTTGCGATCTTCCGTGCCATTGGAGACGAGTGCCTGAAATTGCAGTCGGTTCCGAAACCGCAGATTATTGCTCATTACTTTTGCTTGAGCGTGAGACTTTATTCTCGCGACTAACAAAGCTTTATGAATGGCAGGTGCTCATACAGACTGCGTGGAGACGGCCAGCGCTCAAACAGATGCGAGAGACTTAATAGCACACTTTTTCACTTGCCCTTGCTCCAACCTTGGCTTTGCCTTGTTTCGGGCACTGCAGCAGATCTCGGCTCTCTTGCAGTCCAAGGTCTTCGACCAGCCCATGCATCCCCGACAGTACACGTCTTGGAATTCTGTCTTTCGTAGCTTACCTTCTGCCCGGGGTGCAAAGAGAGATGCTGCCGAACACTTGCAGACATTGCTACACATGCCTAGACTCTGAGGCGACGGAGTTGGTCTCGCTTTTGCGCTCCTTCGCCGGAGTCACGTGCCGTCCGGGCCTCTGGAGCCTGGCACTCGCAATGATGTTGCCCATATGACTTCATAGAGAGTCGCTCGGAATTGGTGATGCATCAATGCCATGCTCCGTGCGTTCCTTTATGTGAAGTGATCCGGCAAGGCCATCGACAGTTTTTGCAGATGATTGAGCCCCTTGGTGGCAAGGAAGTTGGAAACATGGTGCTGAGTGGCTTTGCTTGCAGTGTTGCAGGCTAAAAGGTTCCTTGCTGCCACTCTTGCGATCTGCTGACCTTCTTCGGCTTGTAATCGCCTGTGGGCAGCGCGGGGGCCGAGCCGCCTTCCCCACTTCGATTGTCCACTACACGTGATGCTGTGGACCTTGGCAACTTGATACTGCGAGAGCCGAAAGGGAAGTAATGTCAAGATACATCATGCCCCTGATCCCGTGCCAGCGTTGCCTCGTGTTGCCTCTTCCTGTGATTACTGACTTTTCCTCAAGATGCCAGTTTCACCCCACAGAGTGCAGGGCAAATCGCGGATAGAGGTGGAATTTATTGCAATATTTTTTGCTAGGAGCACTGCAAATAAAGTCAACAGCAGAGAGATGATCGACACCTCCAGTTTAGACCTGAGAGCATCGAAGCGGGTCATGCATGTCGCTGATTTCCTTTCAGCTGCGAAAGCTTCCGTCGAAAACGCGAAGGCCGCCAGTCCAAGCCTTGCATTTATGCTTGCAGCAGCCGCTGCAGGCCTCAACCGGAGCTGGCAAGAAAGGCTTGACGGCTTGTGCCCATGACCATTGCATGGGTGACTTCGTGGGTGCATTTCGCCGAAAGAGCAGGTGGGAAGAAGAGGAAGTCCAAGAGACGCCGCTTGTCGCACAAGTCTGGGGCAACTGCGACTTGTTGCAAAGCCGAGTCCACCCGTGGCGACTGCCTTCTCAAATAGCCACGCACGAGGCAGCAGCAGTGGCGGTTCTTCCCTTCACACGTTGCCGTTGCTTGCCACCTGCGCAGCCTTCAGAGAGTCCAGGCGCACCATCACTCCACGTTGCAAAGTGCTTCCGGAAACACGGGGAACTGCAGGAGCGCCGCAGGTCGCTCCACCCGCCTTGACCTCCAAGTCTCAGGACATCTCCGGACATATCCGGAAGACCAATGGCTGGACTGTTTCAATCGCAGTCATCACAAGTCTTCGCAGGCGTCCTTCAGCAGGCATTCGTACGACCAATGTGCACAGCTCAGCACAGTAGGGCTTCTAAGAAGCTGCCAGGACGAGCAACTGCAGGAAGCAGCGAGGCTCATCCAAGTCAACACTGCGCCCGGCGCCTGCGAGCAGGTTCAGTGCAGAAGGTAGGTATCGAGTTCCTCTCCTTGTCAAGGTGCCGAGGCTCCCAAGCTGTCTCCGGGCGGCTTGGACTGTTAAGGTGATTGAAACAACAGCGACACCTTGTCAGACTACATACGAAGAGTTGTGGTTCTGGATCTCCCCAACCGTACACGTGGGGCTTTAAGGTCTCAAAGACAGAACCCAAAGGCATGACTGACACGTGTGCGTAGAGCAGGTCGGACATCAGGCGCTTGTTGGGGTGGCCGTTCTGATAGACAGACCGCCACTGAATGACGCTCAGGACAGTGGATTCGAGCTCCCGCGTCTTCGCGTTGCAGTCTTCAACGCGTTTAGCCGGGTCGCGCCACATCCGGCCGCCAGTTGCCCTGAGCCGAGAGTGGGACTGTTGTATGTGACGCAGACCGATCGTTCATTTCGTTTGGACTGCAGTGCTGCAGGTTGCAAAGTTGCTTTGACGCAGACGCCATGGTTCTTCAGCCAGGCTGTTGCGTTTTCAGTTTCACATTGAACCTAAGCTCCCAGAGCATCCCAAGATGTAAACTGAATGTCTCCATCCGTCACATGCATCGTGCAGAGGCCGTCTCGCGCTTTCTGCACATCGGATCAGCCCGAAAGCAGCACGGGCACGGGAAGTGGCTAAGCCTCGTCCCCAAAGGGCCACGAAGTCTCCGTCTTCTCTGCATTACTCATGTCAATATCGCAAGTGACGGTGCTCCGTGCTTCATCGCTGAAACAACTTTTGTCGTAGGCCGCAGCAGTGCGATGGACTGCGACCACTAGTTGGATCCCTTGCATCATTTTTGAAGGGGGTCCTGCATACCAAGGCATGTTCGCTCCTGTGCGGGTCGAGCTGCTGCAGGCCGTCGAACCGGGTCTGCTTATACTTGATGCCACCATGGTGTGACGGCTCGAAGGTGGAGGACATTTGGGAAGGACGGCTGCGCAGGTCGACCGGGCCCTACAGCAAGAGCCTCAGTGTTCCACCACGCGGACTCCCCCCTAATTTTTGGTTTGTATCGCTCGGACCAGCAAAGATGGTGGCCCCGTCTTTTGCTCAGCATCAGGCTCTGGATTCGATGTTTTCCTGGTGCCGGGTGGGTCAGCCCAGGCAGCCTCCGGTAGCAACGAAACCGTAGACTCCCGAGCTGTGACACGCGCAAGGCAGACTGGCGAACGTTGGAATCAGAGGGTCGCGAGGCCATACATCGTTTCGTGCAGAGCGGAGCCTCGGCTCAAAGTCTCGAGCATGAGATCTGGCCCAGTCTGGCCGGGTGACTTGGGTCGAAGCAGTGCTATTGCCTCCTTTTCCGAGGTGGGGGCTACTGCGGCATCTGCGCTGGCGCCTTCCTTGCGCATCGCCTCAGGCCTGAACGGGACCTAGGGCTAGCCATCCTCTGAACCTCGAGATGCAGATTCGCTGCTCTTTCCATGCAGTGCACTGTCGGAAGCTGGTACGTCCCTTTCGGAAAGGGGGATGAAGAGGAGCCACTGCGACGATGGCAGTTGTCATTGAACGTGCCAGCGGATCTTTGTACCATGCACGAGGCTACTGGATGCGCTGAAGAAGCCCGCGCACCAAGGGTGGCTACAATGGTTGTGTTTGCAGCCTTGTGTGCGGCTTTTGTGCTTCCTTGCAGCACGACCTCGACCCGATCAGTACGTCCGTTTGCAGCCAGAAACCAACGTAGCAAGATTCCCTTCCCGAGATCTCTCCCATCGCGCTGTAACTTTGTCAATCTCGGCTTCAACGCCGCATGCTAAACTAAATCTGTGCGCCAGGAAGGAAAGGACGCTGAGCGAAGGAGAATCAGGCCCTTCTTGCCTTCGGAGCGGGACTGTCGAGTGTGAAAATCACAACTGGCTTCGGATCTTGCTATTTATGTAATTTATGTATATGTAGCAGGTGACGAGCTCGACGAGCCACAAGTAGCTCCACACGTTCCACAAGCGAAGGCCAAAGGGGAGCACGGGCTACGATCCGGTGACTGTGTCTCACGTGCCAGTATGAGCATGGCAAAGTTTTCAGGCGAGCCGCGATCCATTTATGGTAAATGTGCATTTCACCAAGAGAGGCAAGAGGCTATTGTGACTCCGAGTGAATTAGCAGACTTTTGTTGGAAGTTGCAACGCCTGAGTACATTGTATGCCTGGATGCACAAATGCTGCAACAGCGAGGGTGCGCAATTCTTAGTGGAATTTCTAATACGACGATGATTTTCAACACACGTGCACATCACGACCGCTGTGAAATCGGTGAGCATCATGCGCCTGCTCTTCTGCAATTGCCACACCTACCACTCGGACTTCACCCATACATGCACAGAGAATTTGAAGAGACGTGCAGTATTTTCCTGCTTTGTCAGATTTTGTCTTACTTTGCCAACTACCCGCTGGCAGAGCGGCAGACGGCTGCAATTTTGCCCAATTTGCACATCCGTACTTGGCTGAAGGCTTTGTGGAACTGTTGCTTGTGTCTCAGCTCAGGTGGACCGAGGGTCCGGGGCCTCCCAGTGGCGAAGACGAGCTGCACAACGGGACTGTTCGTATCTTGAAGCAAGACAAACTGAAGCCATGATAGCATGAGACGCATGCCATGGCATGTGGCCTTAGTGCCCGAGGGCAGTGTGATCAGGTATGCGCTACCACAACGGGCCTTTGCTCAGAGTGCTGAAGGCGACTGGCAGTTGCAGCATGGTGTCGAGCTTGTCATCAAGCACAGAATTTGTTGCCACTATACGATAATTAGCAAGGTCGTTTTTTGCCTGAGTTCGTGCAGCATCTAGACGTCAAATCGAGCGGAAGGCGTCTCCGGCGGAAGCGCTATGCAGCATGACGAGCGACGCCACAGCAGCCTTGCCACGCAGACGGCAAGAAAGAGCATTGAGCCAAACTCAAAGCTATATGGGCGGTGCATTTGCCTGAAAAATGCAAGCGAGGAATGGATGTGCAGCAGTGGCAAGAAGCTTGGAAGACGATTGCTGCAGCTACCTTCATGCTTGTCTGTGAACCGTTAGCCCTTGCTTAAGCAGACTTGCTTGCTCATTTTTCCAGTGATGCTGTGAGCCAGTGGGCAATTGGATGCCTTGAGGTCATGCAAAACTCTGGTGGTGGACGCGTGCTCGCGATTTCGCCACACCCAGAGTCGACGCTACTGTCCTTGCAAAGTCAGTACGGTTTTGGAAAGAAGAAGTGTAGAGCGGCGTCACCACCGCCCTCCGTTGCAACCTCCGACACATGTGAGGCTACCAGTAAGAGAGCTAAGGCAGGATGGGCTGCTTCTGCCACAGCCTGGCAAGGAGCGATTGCGCCGTGTGTGGGGCCGAGCTTTAGGTGGAGTTGAGTTGGTCTAAGTTGGACTTCCTAGGCACACTGCAACAAACACGAGCTCAGCACAGCCATGCCATCTTAATTACCATTCCTGCCATCAGCGTCCATTTGGGAAAAAGCTGAGCCCATGCTTTGCTGACGCTATCGCAGAGTCGCCGAGGTGCTTCAACGAGCCGTGCTTCTTGCGGCCGCCGGGCCAGCCGCACATAGCTGCACGGCTACGATACCTGACCATGCTGCACGTGCACTGCACGGCCTGCTAGACCGCTTGTTCCTGTGTCTCGGGAATGTCGAGGTTGGCTTGAGGCGGAACTGCACATTCCGGCAAAATGCTGACCGGTGGATGAAGCCAGTCGACCTCAGTTGTCAACCTGCGCAGTTGGGACGGTGCGTCCCCGAACATGTCTGTCTGACCACGGCGAGTACCGGGTGCTGTGCAGCACCTCTGAGCATTCCGCAGATGATGAGAACTTCCCACTTCCCCACCCCAAGTTGCCAAGCGGATCTTGACTAGCAGTGATGCTCGGGTTAAGTTGGAGGAACTCCGATTGGCCAGAAAGAGCATGCAATTTGAAGCTGCGCTCCTGGTGATGCGCGCGCAAGTTCGGTTATGAGCGAGCTCCCAGTGGGCTCCTCTCGACGATTCTTTTGTGGCGTGCTGCTATATGGCAAAGCCAACAGCGCTGCCACAACTAAAATTAAATCATCAGCATGCTGACATATCCACTGCGTATGCCATTTGCCTGTCTATGCCAGCAAGTGATGCGCAAAGAGGACTACTACCAGTAACGTCATGAAGCATTGCGATTACGGTCACCTGCATGGTCTCGCATCTCATCAGAAAGGGGTATAAAGAGCCTGCACCACCCGAGGTTGCGTACTGCTCACGTCATTGCGCAAGCTGCAACCGCAGCCCTCATGGAAAGGCAGCTGCCAAAGATGTTGTCTCCTAGTGTCCTAGTATGCTGGGAGTCCAGTCTGCACCGAGGCATTACATGCTCTTGTGTTCGCCACTGGAGCTGTTGCAAACGGTCGACAGCTCGTGCGGTTCGGGTCAGTACTGCAGCAACGGGAGCCCGCTGCTCTGAAGTGCTTGCTTGGCACCTCGGAAGGTCCATGCCACCGTTCGTTTGTTGCTGCTGCCCAGTGCAGACAGCAGGCCTTCGAGGGGAGAGCTTAGTTTTAGTGTCTGTCGTGACCGAAGGACTCGTCGGTAATGTTCCAGGGTGCAATGTCCGTGTTGAAGCCTCATTTATGTCATGATCTGCAGTTCAGCAAGATTCTCACGAAGCTCTTCTCGGGCAGATTCTGGACTGACATCTTTTCGCCTTGCCTCGCGTGGGCACTGACCGCGTTTCGCGGACGAGACCTGGTGCGCCCCCATGGCTGACTGTCTTCTGCGGATGATGCAAGGTGGGACGGCTCGTGTGGTCGCTGCTGTCTTCCCTTCATGGCAGGTCACCACCTTGGCCGCCTGTGTGGCCTTTCAGCGTTTCCATGCGGCCCAGCGCATTGCTGCTGCTCTATGTCAGGCAGCTGCATTTGAGGCATCGCCATGTAACGTATTGCGCAAGGTCTTTGCATGGTTTTGTAATGTTTTGTGAGGTTTGTGAATCGAGTGACCTCACTTCAGCAGAATCCACATCATCGGATATGCGCCATGTGGTGCGAAAGCCCAGGTGCTGAACCAACTACTGCGAAGAGAGACATCTGCGTGTGGGCTGGGAGCCTGGCGGTTCTGGCAGGCCAGACTCGTGACCAATCGGCGTGACATGGCTGGACAAAGCAGGAATCTCAAGAGGAATGTGCAGATTTGAAGACTGCTGGGGCAGGTTTTCGCCATCTCCGAGGTCAACTACTTGAAGCAAGCACGGCTACTTTTGCCGAGGCGAGCAGCAGTGTTGCGATCCAAAGAATGCAGCAGCTGAGCATGCGTTGATTGCACTGCGGCCTCCCGGCCTTGCTCTATGACGGAAAAGATCGCCTGAGGCTTGCACGGCGTATGCCGGTTGCCCGGACCTTACGTCGCTGAAGTACCTGTATGGAGCCCCCGAAATAGCCGGGCTTCGTACCGGAAACCTGGCAGGCAGGCAGCGCTTTGGGAGACCGTAGAAGGCCAGCAAATGCCAGCAACAAAAACAGCAGCAAACTAGCACAACCACACCACAAAACCCGCGAAACGCACAGCAACAACGACGATGACGACAACAGCAACAACAACAACAACACCAACAAACACCAACAAACACCACAGAAACAAACTCAGCAAGCACAACCGCCACCGCTATCACAACCACAACCACAACCCCACCACAGGCCCACCACGGCCACATGCACAGCAACGATAATGAGGATTACAAGTCAACCAAGAGGATGTAGGCAAGGAAATGCTCTTGCGGGAGCTGCCTTGCAGGCCACCGTGCAGGCTCGGAAACACGTACTACCAGAAGGTACGACTCTGTAGGTGCGTCGCCGTCAGTTCTGCTGTTTCTGCGTCGGGGCGCTGCTGCTGCTGGTCCTCGCGGTCGTTTCGTTGCTGTTTGCGTAGCAAGCTGTGTTGTTACAGACAAAATGCCACCCCCCAAAGGCCAGTTTAAGCCGTTGTACGTGAGGTCTGGAAGAGTCCGAGGCGCGTCAGTTGCTGACCTTCGCCTTTGCAGCAGGCCTGCAAGGTGCGCTGGCGACGGACCCATTGTCACGTCAGTTTGGAAGACGCTGTAAAACAGTGTAAAGGTTTCGTCAATCTCCAACATGACATGCTGAGATGCTCCTGTAATCCATAATTTCAAGTTGATGCCTACGTGCACCAAACCTTTTGACACTGGTCATCAGGAGTTTGTGTCATGTACCCGAGATTGGATGAGCTGACGGACGCGATCCAGGCTTCTTCCTCAGTTGTGAGCTATCAGCCAAGCAAGGACCGCGTCTTGAGCATTGCGCCGGCCCCAGACAGCCTTGTGAGAAGCAGGTGGAGCATCCCAAATCAGCCAGACAGACCAAATCCAGGCAGGACTCTGAACTGTTCGCTCGCTCGCCAGTGGCAATGTCACGTGCCACGTGCTCCTTCTGACTACAAACAGCAGGATGCACGAGGAGGTCTTGCAGAGCCTTCTGATCGCGCCGACCTCGAATGCACTGGAAAGTGGCGTCAGTGTGCAAAGGTAATACTGATCCTTCCTGGACTCACAGGTCGTTAGTGGCCCAGCGTCGCCACTCGTCTGCCGACCTTCATTGTCAGCAGAGGAGCTGCACATGTGTGGTGACATGAACAATTGCGCCGTGCGGACGTAGCGTATTGTGTCTCAGTATGTCTCAATGCTTCCCGGAGGAATCATGCGTGATCTACTCGATAGATATTGCAGTGCACCGCTCGCCGCCGCGCACTGTAAAAGATGCAGCGAGTGTTTTATCATTGCCAGGCCATAGGATAGGCCGTAGGCCCTAAGCCCTGCACCTAACTCTAACTGCCCACGGCAGATCTGTTCTTAGGACACGTCTGCGAAAACTATCGAATGCCGCTGAGTTGTTGGCTTAGGGCTTGAAATGGCCCAAAGAATCTGCCAGCTTCTGCCAGGACAGGCCTGAAGTAAGACCCGAGTACCAGCGGAACACAAAAAGACATGCCACAGAACGGAGCCATTAAGTGATTGTAAGCTTTTCGTGTTGCCATGCCCGGCTTCGTGCGCGTCCCTTGCGATGAGCACTTTGAGGTGGCGGGGAGCTCGAAGCAGCTTTCTCAGCCAGTTGGATGGATGCCAGGTTGGTGGAAGAGACTGCGCTGTCCACTCTTTGTAGTTTTAGTTTTGGCGTGCACGGTGGCTTGGCTAGCTGGTCGAACGGACAAGACTGCCGAGCCAGAAGAGCGGGCTTCTTCTGGTGCGATTCTGCTGGTGGGATCTGGTTCCTGTCCCGCCAGTTGTGGCCAGTCTGTTGCATGCACAGCAGGTGCTTCAAAACCCGTCATCCCGGAGAGGGACTGTCCATTTTTCGTATCTGGTGGGCCCAGCCCCGGTGTGACTTCAGCTGTGATGGATTTGCAAGGCTGTAATTTTGCACCCATGGATGAGTTTAACACTTCCTGGACAGTGAACGTCTTTCAAGCACCTGGATCATATTTCTATGAAGTGCAAGCTGGTGTTCCCTTTATTCCGTTCGTTATTGAAGATGGCTTCGTGGACTTTACCACGCCGACAGACTTCAATGTGCTGAATGTTAACGATGCTTTACCAAACAGCGACAATCCGAAGCTCGAAATTACATCCTTGGCTTTTGCCAATGACACGGTCTTGTTCTTTGCGAACAGCACTGATAGTAGTCCACTGTTCTCGTTGCAGCTGTTGGAGGTCCTTCCAATCACTCCTCTGCGTCGCCTCACTGACGAGAGAAGACTTGCAGAAGCCTTCTTTGAATGCCCTGGTGGATGCGTGATCTCAAGCCTTTACGTCAACGATGGTTTCTGCGACTGCCCGGAAACTTGTCAGGATGAAGATTCCTGGACTTGTGCCACCTGTGGCGCGCCCCCATCGCCCCCACCATCACCGCCTACGGCGGCGCCAGAGGTCGAAAGCCAGGCCCGAAGCAGGGCTGTGACAAGCATGTGGCGACATGACAGCTTCACGATCACCACTGGCTGGATATGAAATCGGTTTGCCGGTGATTGAACTAATTTATGCTCTGAGGCAGTTCTAGTTGCCACTTGTAGCAACAGATACGCTACTTTTGACACTATTTCTCATAACTCACCAGCCCCGTGGGGCTCCAACGAGCGTTGCAAGAATCCTTCCTCAAACCATCGTATCTGTCAGTACGTGTGGACGCCGAAAATGGTGGTAAACATCTGCCGAACCACTGCAGCGCACCCCGCTTGTAAACGTCCGTGAACTTTCAAGTACCTGAACATGATAAGGAGCCCTCTCGGGCTGAGGATGGGAGTTTGGGTTTTAAATGGCTTAGGGAGAAAATTTCTGTGGAATTAAGCGCATCTCCGTGCGACCTGGAACACACCCGACATCAATGCTGCCGATGTCCGCTGTAGAGGCCTTTGGCAGGTGTGGTTTGGCGTACCAAGAATGTGTTGATCTTCGCTCAGGCTCCCATGAGCCGTACAAGGCATCAGCAGGAACAAGACACCCAGCTTTTTCAATGTACATCCTTGGCTTTATTGATCAATCTCAACATGAACTTGACAATTGAACCAGAATTCAACTCATGGCATGGAGCCGGAAATCTTCAGCCCGACAGTCCCACCGCCTGAAAAACTGTAGACGTGCAGAGTTGAAAGTGTCAGGCTTTGAAGAAGGCCTCCATTGGAGTCGGTGTTGGCGTCGGAGTGGGCGGCGGCCTTGCCCTTGGCCTCGGCCTAGGGATCGGGCTCGGGACGGGCATTGGGACCGGTGGTGGTGTGGGGACGGGCTCCGCGGCCTCAGCTGCAGCAGCGGCGGTTTCGGCTGTTGCTGCCTTCAGCGCAGAGGGCTCCCTGAAGCTCAAAGTGGACAATCCGCAGATACTGGAGACGGAAGCTTTCACCAATGCGATCAAGCGATCGATTGCTCGAATAGCCGGGAGCTTCGTTCTTTCTTGTTTGCTTTCCTCGCGAGGCACTTGTAGCATCTTAAGCATCTTAGATCTAGCGCTTCCCGCTGAGGGTGTTTTGCTTTGTGCAGGAGCTCAGTGGTTCCAGCAATGGTGGAGCTCATCATCGGCTGTGCGGCTGCCAGCCGGAGGCTGGCTTCCCTCTTGCGTCGGCTGGCGGAGACCGTGGACGTGTGCTTCAAGATTGGTGTGGAAGAAAAGGACTTAGCAGAGGAGGTTTGCGACACTTTGGCAGGATACAATGCAGCCACAGTTTCTACTGTGATTACTTCAGAAATCCTCGATTCCGGCATTGATCCAGGGCAAGTCAGCGTGATAGGTTATGAGCCGAACCCAAATCCGCGGGCCAACAACCCGAATGCGCCGAGTGATCCGATCGATAATCCGTTTGTCCCTAGCACGGGCGGAATCAACTTGGGATAAGCGCTCCAAAGGAGATGCTTCTCCAACCTCGCGGCACAAAACGGGTCGAGCTTCCGTGAAGGCTAAAGTCCTTCAGATTCATTTGCCCGTGTGAAAACGGAATGGCGTGCGTGTTTTGAACAAATGGGCGTTGATCATGCACTGGCGACCCACATGACACAGAGTCATGAGAAGAAGTCGCTCGAGGTTAGCTGCATTCATCGATGCCGCAGCTGCTCCTGCTCGCACATTAACTGTCGAGCGTCGAAACGTCCAGAAGTCCTGCTCAGCTTCCTTTCCATAAAGAACGGCCCAGTCGTGTTGTTTCATGTCAAGCACGACCGACTTTTCGGTTCTTGTTCAGGCTCACATAAGCCCGTGTTTCCCAAGGCAGCTACGCGAGTCGCAAGCAGCACAGACATCGCATTTTTTTTAGCCTCTTAGAGGATGTCTGGCACATTGCTGAAATGGCTTGTGGTCTTCACCGGCTGGCAGAGTGGAGCTCAGAGGGCGGCCTCGAGGTTGATTTTACGTTCACGTCGCCTGCATCTCGGGGTACTGCCGAGGTGCCACAATGCCGTATTCCAGGAGTTCGCGAAGGAGGTGTCGGTTGCATCCAAGGGCCCTGGTCGTGGGGTTCGGATGGGTTCGGAAGTTCGGAGTGTATGGTTGGAATCCAGTAGACCTTCAGGTAGCGGAGTCAGATGCAGTCAGCATGCTTTCTTGTACCCACTAAGTCACTATGCGCCAGATGAGACACTCGCGTAACTTGTGATCTATTGCTTCCGGATAGCCCGTGACATGTCTGTGAACGTCACGACGTTGGCATAAAGAATTCGCCTTTACTTCACAAATGCGTTGCACTCCTGGCAAGTGGCTACTATTGCAGACCGTTGTGACAACTGGGAGAAGATCCGTGTCAGATGTCCAGCACTGGCCCTTGCGCGTCAGCCTTCACAGGCAGAGGCTCTGGAGGCCCTCATGAAAGACAAGGCGGTGGCAGGGAGAACATGGCTGTGTTTAGCCTTTGCACCCAGATGTCTTTGCCTGCCAGCATCGTGATTTGCACTTGCTGTATTACTTTGGGACCGAATGGTGCATGATCCTTGCAGTGGAACCGCAGCAAACTGCTGCCGCGTCTTTCCTTGTGTCGACCTGGCTTGCGAGGCCTTGGCGTCGAAGGTTGAGAATGCGGAAGTGTCACAGCTCATTCGAAATGGCTCTGCTGCCTTGTGCTTTCTGTCTGGGAGGCTGCGCAGTACCTGATGCCTTTGCAGAGTGTATAACCAGCGCTGTGGAGCCGGAGCCAGGGTGGTGGCTGCTCTGCCGCGAGCTCGTCCTGACCTCGCACGGCCTCGCTGGCTTCGTCAGGGCCCAAAAAGCAGCTTTCCTCCGGCGGGTCGGAGCTTTCCTTTCTACTCGTAGCAGTTGGAGCTGGTCTCATCTGGACGAAGTTGATTCCGGGACTCCCTGATGCATAAATTGTGCTGCTCATCCCTGAAAGCATTGCTTGAAGTTCAGTCTTCCATTGGCTCAGGGCAGCCTGGAGAAAGCTGTGCGCCAAGAAGTGACGCAGCTCAAACTGTATTGGGCCCAGTCGTCATGCCACCCTCCCCCGAAGCTGCTGTTTGATGGTTTCGAGGAATGCAGATGACCTCCTCCTCGCATTGAGTCCGCAAGACGACAGTCGTCAGGGCCGCAGGGAAAAATCCAAATGTCCAGCATGTTCCGTGAAAAAAAAGCAGGCCCAGCCTGGGCTGCGTTTCATCGGTTGACGTAGGAAATGCGAGGTATCGGAGTGGTCCGCTGTGCGACGCAGTGGGCACAGAGTCCTGGAAGCAGAAGCCGAGTGGCTCTAGGTCGTGACTCGCGACTCGAGGGCTGAATGTCATCGGGCTTTGGGAGAAGAAACGCCAAGGAACAGCTCGGCCATCTTCCTCAGCATCAAGTTTGCCCATCGTTGGTCCTCACCGGGTGCATTGAAGGTATCCTGAAGAGATGTGCACGCGCTTGGCTGGCTGGGCACCTTGCACTGTTTCATGTGAGACTGCATCAGGTCCAGGACGAAAAGATTGAGGTGTCCCCGTGCTGCTTTAACTTCACGGCTTCGGGTGATCACTCCCAGCTCAAGAAGCGCTACGCGCCACGGCCTTGCAGCACTTCCATGAGAGTGTGCAGCAATGGCACGGTGCACATGCGGGCAGCAGCAGTTGCAGCTTGAGGCTGGACTTGGCTTTTTACGGAGAGGTCGGCTGGACACCCGGGAGTCGTCGTTCTGCTGCTCATTGCTGGCTGCAATTTGAGTCTCTCCTTCAGCCTAGCGAGAGACCTCAGATCCGGACCACTGGTCATGGCAGCTTGCGTCAGCGGGTCGAATGACTACTGAGCGTCTTGGCCATAGACTTGGCTGCTAGAATCGGCAAGATTTCGAGCTAGTCTTGTTTGTACCCGACTAGAAAGCTGCTGCATAGTACAATCGTCGTGGCTGAATTGGTTTATCCACCCAAGTCGAGAGATAGCTGGGGTGTGGCAAATTACAGACGTGATATTGAATTCAGTGGGATACAGAGAACTTCAACCAACCAGCCCAGCATGGCCAGGATTCGCAAGCGAACCAGAGCGAATTGGCCAAGACTGCTTGAATCCAAGAGTGCCTCGGCTTCTGTTCGGTTCGCAGCCGCGTGCTTGGCCCATCTGGTTCCTACAAGTAGCAGCGTCTTGATCGTATCGAACATAGGTGATATTCACGTGTAAGTCGTGATTTCGCCGGTAGGATCAAGATCCCACGGGCTTTGGATAGAAGGCATCGGACTCAGGGCGTGTGATGCTTTATGTCCGGAAACCACGACCCCCTACAATCGCAATCATGCTTCAAAGCAGCCTGAGCCCTCTCGTGACCCTTACAAGAACCCTTACAAGAACCCTTGCTATAACCCTTGTAAAGAGCCCTTCAAGAAAACCTACAGAAATATTTAAAGGAACCCTTATAGAACCCTTGCTCTAGCCCTTTTCCGCAGCCTTATAGACACCTCGCGATGAAGCCTGATAAGAACCTTACAGAGACCTTAACCCCTCTAACAGCCTGAGAATGACCCTTACAGAACCCTTACAGGGACCATGATAAACACCTTATGGCGACCCGCACAGAACCCTTGTAATCAGTCTTAGTTAGCATATCCTGACTACCAAGCCTGGGCAGCAATAACGACCTTCCAATTCCTATGCCCAAGATCCGTAAAATAGTGGCATGAATGGTTTTGAAGTTAGGGGTTAGGGTAAAGGAGGCGTTGATAAATTCTGTTCGGCTTTTTGGCATTCTAAAGCGTGAACTTAACTTCTTCCAGAAAGTCAACAATGCTACCTCCACGCTTGCAAGGCAAACCAGGCAACCTGCAGCAATGGGATTCCATGCAGGAGTCTGCAGCCTCTTGCCCCTTTCAGTAGACCCGTCCCACCTCCGGACTTCTACCTTTGACTACACGAATTGTTTGCACCTCCAGGTCGGGCTGTCAGAGAGCATAGGCAGCTTGTTTGCAGATGCCTGTGGCATGGCATTATCCATCACCTCGTCTTAATATTTCATGGATATCTAGTCTCATTCAGCAGGAGCGTTGGAAAAGCGAGCTGAAGGAATTTGATCGGCAGCATAAGGCTGGGCGCAGTGCAACTGGGGGCAACTTGTCGCGCCCTCCTGCAGTGTCAGGCCGCTACCAAGGACGCGGAGAGCACTGAAGGGGTCGAGGCCGCAGAGGAGTGCGCGGATGCTCTGCATGGCGTTCGACTACCCTTCGATTCTCATCTCATTGAATAGCGGCCTCCACGGAAGAAGTGCTGCACACCTCAAGATATCAACATGCAGAGTCGATACCGCTTCGAGCCCTGCCAAGCTGCGTTTGGCAGGAAGAAATCCACTCCACCGGCAGGACAGGCTTCACTCCCGAGAAAACTTGCAATGTGCAAGCCCGTCAGGAAGAAATGCGTTGACAGTCGTGCTTCCCCCTTCTCAAGCGCTGGCCTCGTTACGAGGTGCGGTCATGTGCAATGTCAAAGTGTGCTGTGTACAAGCGTTGTCCCTCCCTCTTCTTCGTCAGGCTGTGCGAGGCTTATTGGCCGGTGAGGACGGCGCCGTGCTAGCAGGATTGCAAGTCTGGGCATCTTGAGATTTCAGTATCTGAAGAGGATGGAAACAAAAAAGAAGGGCAAATCCTCCACCTGGTTGGTGCTCTTCCACTCTCCGTCGGTGCCTTGTGAGTCACTCGCAGAATTCGCATGCTTGATTGTCTAAACACGGGCAGCCGGCTAGCGTGCTATCCTCCAGATGCTCTCCCGCCCCAGGTCGGAGATGAAGTGCTACGACCGCGGTGATGAGTGCCAACGAGTTAAAGATCGCTGGGAAGCAGTTGGCCGCAAGGTGTCTGGCCTTCAAAAGATTTTTGAGTGAAGAAACACAGGTGGTCATGTCTGAGAACGAGCTGCATTTTGCTCACAACTCACTTCTTACTGCCATCCGGCAGAGTTCCAATTCACTCGACTTGCCTCATGAGCTTCGAAGTGTTCCAGGTGGAGCAGGTCAGTGAGGCACCTGTGGGGACGATTCATCAACTGGTGTGTGCTGTGCCGTGCTGTGCCTATCGAACAGGCTTTGGTCGGTGCTGTGGACTGCGATCGGCATGTGACGGGCTTGGTGACCAGTTGATTTCAGGAGCCCGGTCAGCACCTCTGTCCTGGTTCAGGCAGACCTCTGCCAAAAGGAGAAGGCTGTGATGTAGTCCGCGTAGTTGATTTCTCTTGACGAGTGACTAGGTGGGAACATTGCCATTCGTTCGACGTTATCGCAACGGCAAGAAGAAGACATACTACGGCGAGCAACTGCCTCAGAACACTCGTGGCGCAGTGCATGAGGAAGCTGAACAGGCTGTAGCCTGTGCATCCAGCCATCCGGCGGCAGGTGGGACATCGATTCGATCATGAAGATTGTCGTGGATTGACCGTGCTCTTTGTGTCGCTGTTTACGACGAGCC